GTTTTCCTTTTTTGGTTTATAGTTTTCCCTTACGTCTTCCAGTTGTCTCTCTATTTATCACTCCCATGCTGTCCAGATTTTCCCTGGGAATGTGTTTTCCCATTGCAGCTGTTTTAGTTACAGTTAATATGCAAAGTGTCCCCTTGGGAGTTCAATGCTAAGGCCACTCAACTGCTTTCTATGACATGTGCTGACCACCAGGGGGCAGTCGATCAGTTGACCATTTGCTATGATGTGCACTGACCACCAGGAGGCAGATGCTCCGACTGGTTGGTTAGCTTGCTGCTGGCTTCTGTCAGATCAGGACTGAGACAGATGGACCAGACATGCCCTGGAGCCCTCCTATGGTCCCTCCACAGCTGGCCAAACTCCCACATCCCTCCCCGGCCCTGATCGTGCACAGGTGGGGTCCCTCAGCCTGATCTTCACCCTCTCACAATTTAGGACCCCTTGGGGGATGTTGGAGAGCCAGTTTCGGCCTGATCCTGCAGGCCAGGCCGAGGGACCCCACTGGTGGAAGAATTCGTGCACCAGGCCTCTAGACTTCTGTAATTTTTAAAATCTTTGGTTTTGCCATTTCATTTGCTACAAAATCTGGAGGTTGTCAGGGAGGGCAAATACATTTGTATTTATAACTACATTGAAAAGGGCAAGTTATTACTTAGTCTTCGTTTGAATTCCCTAAATTAATCCTCTGAGTTGTTGTTAGTGTGATTCTTTCATTTTACTTTTAGTGGCTCTCTCGTTAAAAATGTATGCAGTTAAAAAAAAACAAAACTCTAAAACTTTTGTTTTTATAGTACTTCAGTCTTCAAAGCTGGGTGTTTTCATAACATAATATTTGATCCTCACAGCACCCTGTGAGGTTAACAAGATCTCCCCCCGCTTTTACATATGGAAAACCTGAGCTCCCAGAGGTTGCATGACACATCCAGTGTGAACAGTATTACTGCCACACTGACTGAAATCCAGAATGCTGAACCACCTGACCTTCTGATCAAAATCCAATCTAAAACAATTGTCCACTTTCATCTGATATTAGAAACAACTTATGCCCTACTCTTCACCACATTCAACATGCTAGAATATATTTAGGATTAATAAACAAAGAATATTTTATACAATTAGAGTGTGAAAAAATTACCTTAATTATGTTTCAATCCATGCTTATTTCAATAATTACTTCCTTTAGTTAGGTTGACATTTTGGTTTTCTAGCAATTATTTTAGCTGATAAAAACTGAGTGTAATGAGAATATATGCTTATGATATTCCTGATGGTAGGATTGTACAATTATAATAGGGGCCCAGTGCATGAAATTCGTGCACTGGGTGTGTGTGGGGGAGGGAGTGTCCCTCAGCCCAGCCTGCCCCCTCTCACATACTGGGAGCCCTCAGGCATTGACCCCCATCACCCTCCAATCGCAGGATCGGCCCCTTGCCCAGGCCTGACAGAGGCGTCAGGCCTGGGCAGGGGACCCTCATTTCCCCCCATCACTG